ATTAAGAAGTACTCATAATCTGTACTAATATATGAGATATATAATTAAGAAATCAATGACAGTCGGATGGATAACTACTACCCTAAGTCCATAATCAAACAAGAAACAGGAGATAAGGCGAGCTATCGGTCCTAAGTCTTTCAAGTCTTACTTATATAAATATATTAGTATGATTACATTCTCATAAAGAGTTTTATTTAACAAAAGTATTGTGCGAAAGGAACATTTAAAACTTGTTTGTTAATCCAAGATATTTTTGAAAACAATTGACTTATTTATAAAGCATAGTGATAAATCACATGTGATTTGAACTACAGATTGGGAATCACATGTGATTAACTCTGAAATCTGAAAAATAGTTTTGTATAACTTTTCATAAACATGTATATTCAACTTGTATCTCCCCCCTAAAACATATAAAACATTTGAAAGGTTCATTAAGGGGTATGAACTCACCTGAAATCGCGGAAATCAGGTAAAATTATCGATTGAGCGTTTGGTACCCAATACCCTCTTGAGCACCTCCTAGGACCCTAATGTCATATGAAATATGTATTTTACAAGAAGTTAATCATCTTATGATTTTCATTATAGTATTTGGACATTCTAGCATCGTTTTCCGGGTTTTAAGGCCTAGAAGGGGTTCCCGGGAGTGGTACAAAGTCATGAATGATTTACGGGAGGGTTCACGAGCTCACTCCTTTGGAGTTTATGGCCCAAAAGACATCCTTTGGGAGTTTACGGCCGTAAACCCCCTAGGTTTGGCCGTAAACTCTTGTGGCACTCCAAAGTGTATGTTTAAGGTCTTATTTCACTTCCTTGATTTAACGGTATGTGTTTTGGACTATTTTAAGGGATTAAACATCATAATTTGTGACACTTTTGGGGAGTTTACGGCCAAGACTTGTTCTTGGGCCGTAAACTCTTGTAAACCCTTCAAGATGTATGTTTTAATGGTACAACAAAGTCTCATACACCTTAGATAAATCCTAGAAGGCCCTATAGTGAGTTTGGGACAATTTGGCATATATTTTTGGGGAGTTTACGGCCCAAGAACATCCTTGGCCGTAAACTCTTCATTTTGTGCTCAAATGTGAAGTTTAATGGTACAACACACTTCCAAAGGCCTTAACTAAATTCCTTACAAGCACTAGGGTAGTTTAGGGACTTGTTTGACACAAATTTTTGGGTGTTTACGGCCCAAGCTTAGCCTTGACCGTAAACTCCTCTTTTTGCCATCAAATGATGTTGTTTGATGCATTTAAGCCTTCCTTGTTGTCAAGTCTAAATTGCCAAACACCCTAGATGAGTTTTTGGGACTTTAAACAAGTGTTTTTGGGGTGTTTGAGGTGTTTACGGCCTAAGCACATGCTTGGGCCGTAAACTCCTTTTTACATGTCTAATCCATGTGTTTTAGTGTCCAAACCCTTCTAGATACATGCCTTAATTAGTATACTAGCTTAACATGAGGAAAGACTTGATCTTTGGCATGATTTTGGGGGTTTACGGCCTAAGGAGCTTCTTAGGCCGTAAACTCCTTTATGGTCCTTGATTCTCATGATTTTGGACTCTAAAAGCAGTAAAGTATGATTAGATTAAGTTATGGGATGAATCCTTACGTTTGGAAGTCGGAAATTCGCGGATTTGGAGTTGATTTCGGGTCTAGAGAGAGAAAGTAGTGAGAGAGAGGTGTAATTGTGGTAAAAGAGTCCAATTGAAGTGTTCAAGTGTTTTTATATGTCTCGGGTATTGTACCCGATACCCGGCTACTCGATGCTAAAGTTTAACGGGGTTAAAACTTTTTACCCGGGTGAAGTGGTTGAAAAGTAATATAACTTTATTTAGTTAAACGGGGTTAACGTTTGCAAGTTATAATTACTCATGACAATACCGGAACATATAATTAACTAAATATTTATTTATTGACGACTCGAACAATACCGAGAAATAACATATAATGACGCATTCCGTTAGTGAAAATAAGGTTTGTAACAGGAATAGATTTGGGGTTGTTACAGTATAAACCTACTTGAACAACCAATTACCTTTCAGCTAACTATCATAGGGATAGTTAGAAGATATCAAACATTATGCCTATTACAAGGAATCACACAAGAGTCAGTTCATTCATGAGTCTTTACTAGTACATTATCTGATACATGAGTACCTTTACATATGCTTACATGGTACATGAATCCGCTTACATGAACACATTACATGAATACCGTTACGTAGATACAATTACCTGTGTATACTTACATGAATACTTGAACCTCGGTTCATGAGGATGATTTATTAGTACTTTCTGTGTAAATTATCTTTCCTATCCCGGTTCAATGGGATATCTAGGCGGGACTAACCATTCTGAATCCCACTGATTAGCACCAGTGGTCGATGACCATCTACAGAGGTCTAACGTTACTATTTATATTAGGTAGATCGATATCGGGACTAACCCTTCCACCCACCTGCTGCTGCTATAGAGGACAAGTGGACAATCTTCGGATGTTCATTAGGTTATACTTTTCGCTTATTGCGATGTTGTGTTACTCCTAGTACCCAGTGATAACACTTACATTAATACTTTTTCTGGACAATCTTCGGATGTTCATTAGGTTATACTTTTCGCTTATTGCGATGTTGTGTTACTCCTAGTACCCAGTGATAACACTTACATTAATTCTTTTTCTGGACAATCTTCGGATGTTCATTAGGTTATACTTTTCGCTTATTGCGATGTTGTGTTACTCCTAGTACCCAGTGATAACACTTACATTAATACTTTTTCTGGACAATCTTCGGATGTTCATTAGGTTATACTTTTCGCTTATTGCGATGTTGTGTTAGTCCTAGTACCCAGTGACAACACTTACATTAGTACTTTTTCCTGTTTACTTTATATTGTGATACTATCACATAAACAAGGAGTTAGACTAAGTACTTTAGTAGTAGTCAATAGAAAGGAAAAAAAAACTATCATTTTACTTACAGAACATTTAAGTCTTTGTAGAAGACTATCCTATACTCTTTGCTGTTTACATTATTTTCTGATACTTTCACGTAAACGATGAGTTAGACTAAGTACTTTAGTACTATTCAATAGAAGGGAAAAATATCATTTTACTTACAAAACATTCGGGTCTTGTTTGAAGACTACATTTCATAATAATAGAAAATAAGGGATTCTCTAGGGCTTTTCATACTTACATCAACATTTTCAATTAGCGGTTTACATGACTTTTAAAACAGCTTTTCAAAGCAAGACAATGACACTTAAATACTTATGAATTCACCAGCTTTAAAGTTGATACTCTCTTTCAAAATAACATGTATTCTCAGGTCGTCAGTAGACAGGTATGGTGGCTAGGTCTTGAGAAGACGGAGAAGAAAAGTCTCGTCTTTTATTTCGATTATATATTTTTGGTGTATTATTACAATTAAAGAACACATATGTATTAAAACTTTACTTATAATGCAATGGATGATATTGTTGCTTGTTACTATTTTAAACTGTTGTGATACTGTACATGATGTTCTCCACCCCTGAACGTTTCCGCCGTTCGTGGTTTTGGGGTGTGACAGATTGGTATCAGAGCACTGTTTATAGTGAATTAAGTATATCAACCAATAAAAGATATACTAACTATAAACACATTGGGATTAAAACACTCTATCTAAGAGTTTATACTTTTAAATATAAGATATTTAACAAAGTATATGTGCCTGCATTCATACTAAAATAAGTGTGACAAGGACAAGAACAAAAGTATTATGATTGTTGAATATCACAAGTAAGCCTGGTGTAACAACCCGAAATTCGTATCACTGTTTGTAACCCTTTTCGTGACTCATTTCGATTATTCAATCGTCGTTTCTGATTTCGTTTCCGATTTCGACATTTAATTAAGTCATTAATGTGTAAATTATATTATGACTTAATGGGTATCTTAATACCTTTAGAACTTATTTTAACACCCCATTCTAGTGATCGGAACATTTTTAGAATCAACCATATCGGGTTACGGCAATTTGGCCGGGTGCGACCAAAATCCCCGTCTAACGCCGGTATCAGGTAGAATTCCTCCGTGTCCCGAACTTGGACACTATTTAAAGTGATCCAAGCTTTTATTTGAAGCTTTTGCTTCATCTCACAACCATCTCTCTAACCTCTCTCCTCAAACTAGATTCAAGGTCCAAAAACATCAAATTTAGGCTTCAAATCACCAAGGTAATCATCTTAGCCCTTAGTATAACATCCTTAGACTTCATTTTCGTGTTCAATTCATGGGATAGGACCATAAACATGTGTTTACGGCCCTGGAACAGCCTTAGGCCGTGAACACATGAAAATGGGTTTTTTGAGCAATAAAACCCTTCCAAACCATAACTAGACTTTAGATATGGCTATACACTACAAGAAAATAGCCCTTTAATGACGCGCAAACAATGACACTCGCTGATAGACAACGCGCATTTGCAAGTGCCCTAAAAGATAATGTCAGTTTTGCAAAATTTGAAAGATAGAGGGCACGCATTTGTGCGCACCCTAAAATTAGTGTCAGAAAAGAAAAATAAGAAATGCGGAGGGCGCCTTTCATAAAATGTGCGTCATTTAAAGGTGTCGCTTTATAATTTTTAAGTGAAACACGCGTTTTAGCCGGGAAATGAAATTGATGAAAATTACCCCCGCCTATTGAACCCTAAAAATTAATCCCCCCGCCTCTTCTACTTAGCAAGAAAAAGCCCTAGGTCCCTCACCTTCATCTTCAGTATCATCAAACATCTCGTTCATCCTCTGCATTATTTCCATCGTTCTTCCCTCTCCTCACTGATCAATACCCAAAAAACCCTAATATCATAACCACTCGTCTTTTCTCGCACAACAAAATCCCAAAACATCACCAAATACTAAATTCCACAAAATCGTTGTGACCATTTTAGCTAGGGTTTTTTTCAAGAACGAAAACAATCTCGCATCTCTCTTAGCTCTGAAACAATGGATGATTCACCTTGCTTCACCTTTGGTCACTTCTCCTCCAGCGACGTCAGGCCTTCCTCATTACAAATTGACCAACGATAAGCTAATACTTATAACTGAATGGTTTCACTCTCAAATGGGTGTGCGACTCCTCCATCGCACTGATGACTACGAATGCGACTCTTCCACTACACCTGTGATTGCGTCCCGTCTCACCTCCCTGGCCGCTACCTTAATAGGTTTATCTATTCAATTAGATTTTTCTTTTCAGTTAGAAATCGATTTCGTCGCCTCCCCAGCTCTTCATCTCTTCACTAAAATCTCTCTTCATCTATCCACTAAAATCTTCACGGTTTCTTTAATTTCACTCCAAGGGTTATTGGATAGCTTTTGTATGGTTTATTCCCTATACTGAATCACTAGTCAAAACCATTGTGGTGGTTGTGGCGAAATCAAAATGCGGGATTGAACCATTGTAGCAGAGCGATCTTGAAACTTTTGATTAATACTTCTCAAGTCGTCTCCAAGGTAATGTGAACCTCTTGATACTTCTCATGTTGACTCTCTTTTTTTAGTATAGCTATCGTCTTTTAAAATTAGGGCTTCTGTTTGAATCATTTCATTGAACGACAGGTGAATCAGACCATCTTCTCAATTTATTTGACATTGAAGAACAGTGCGTTGAATTTCTTTGTTGTGTCCAATTTATCTCGACCAGATCTCAATTTATTTGACATTGAAAAATCAAACCTCACAAAATCTTTCATAGAGCCAACGGTTGAAGATCTACGACTCCTCACACTCACATCGCTGATGATTTTAAGGCCTTTTGTCCCCGATATCAAGGAAAAACTAGGGCTTTATGCTCCCGACCTCACAAGGGCAGACCCAAGAACAAGGGCTTTTATATCAGCGTCTTTAGGAAGAACAAGGATATTCGCTCTTCCTCCTTCCGAATCGACTAATTCTTCATCAGCTCTTGTTGAATACATGTCTCCCAAATCAAATCAGGAAGATGAGGACCTCGAGGTGAAGCGATATCGGATTAAGGAAACGTCTAGAACGAATGATAGGTTTTACCCCTGATCCCATTGCAATGAGTCAGCTTATGCAAAGTCCAGCTATTTCACAATTCATTCAGCGTCTCCTTTCAAACCCACAGAACACGAATCCGATTTTTGGCTTCTTCTTTTTTCATTATCTTTAGATTTATTTGTTTGTTAGGGTTTACTTTGCTAACATGCTTGGTATAATTTCACAGACAGTTAATCCCTTATCTGTTATGTAGATTCAGGGCATGAATTATCCCTTAAGGTATACATGTTTTCACCATTTTGCTGTTAAAGAGACGAAAATACCCTTCTTATTGTAAAAAGAATAAGCTAATAAATATTTTATGGAATGTTTCAAGAAGTACAAGATAAATTAGAAGCAGTGAAAATGGAACAACCACAAGGACAAGGAAATAATTTCTATTTTCTACCTCTTGCAGATGGACGACTTTGTATTGCCCCCATCTGAGTCAACTCGAATCTTGAAGGACAAGGAAATAATTTGGTCAGCTTAATTTTGAACTTTTTACTACTTTCTTCATACAAACATGTAACTAGTTCTTTAACAAGTGGACATATGTTTGTTTGTTACTTCAGTGTGAAAAGAAAAGAAATGGCTTTGGTGGAAGCAATACAAGGGGCAGATGCTGGTAATTTACTTGACTATCCAGAAGTCAACAGGAAAGAACCTGTACATAATGGCATGTTACTTCTGGAAAATGAAGAGTTTGATAAGGAAACTGGAGGATACAAAAGTGAATCTGAGGATGCTAAAGATGAAAAGTTGGAAGATGAACCTTCACCTATACAAACAACTTCCAAGAAAATAAAAGCCTCTAAAACATCTAGGAGCTCAAAGTAAGTCATGCAATCTAATGTACATTTCGTTTTTGTGTTATATTTATGATAAAGTTGACTTTCAATTTTATTCGTTTTTGTGTTACATGAGTTTGCTTTTGTGAAACATAGGAAGAAGAAACACCGAACAATGATGGATGTTGTTGAAGATGAAGTTGTGACAGAGGAAAACAACATTAATAATGACAAATTTTGTCCCATGAAAATCATTAAACCACGCAAGGAGAAGGGGGTGCTGAAACAATCCTTGTAGAGGTTAAATCTCCTCCCAAGTTGAAGAGGTAATTCATAATATGTATATACATATATACATATAAGTTTTCTTGTTACTTTTTCTCTATTAAATTTGTTCTTGGGCTCTCTTTGGGTTTCATAGGAAGAAGAAACACAAGGTGATGAGTGGTGATGAAGGTGATGTTAGAGATGAAATTTGCAACATTGATGATGATAAAAGTAAAACCATTAGCAAGAAGAAGATTAAACCAAATGAGGAAGCTAACATGGGAGATGCTGAAACAAGTGACAAAAAGGTTAAATCTTCTTGAAGGACAAAGAGGTAATTTGTAATCTTGATGCCATGTATGTGTATATAGACTAGTGTTACAATTTTGTAGGAATAATTCTCCATCCGTCTAATTTATGTAGGAGTGAAGAATATCTAGAAGACAATGTCCAAGGAATTGAACAAGCCTCTACTACACCTGATGGGGATAAAAAGGTCTTTTCATGCTTAGTTAAACAAATACAGCATTTTTATCTGCTTGTTAAATGTTAATCATACAAAACCATAAATAACTTTTGGTATGAATCCTTAGGGCCCTAGTAGAAGTGCTAGAAGGAAAAAGGCTAAGAGACAATGGAACCGAGAACTTACTAAAATTTCACAAAAGGTAAACAAATTATTTGTTCAAACTTATTTCTCAATAAACTGTTGATTTATTTCTTGCAATCTCCAATTGCAGCGTGATACTGATACCCATCTAGAAGGGACAAATGACCACCCGAAGGGGCGTGTTAGTAATTTTACATTTGAACATATGTGGATATAAATAAACCATCCATTTATAAATGTATGTTTTCTCAATCAGGAAAAGAGTCTAACAGAAGAAGAAGAAGAAAAAGAAGAAGAAGAAGAAGAAGACAACTATGCTTGGTGTCATGCTTGTTTATCACAGGTTTCTCGCTTTCATATTTTATTGTTTACTATTAATTTTGATTTGTAAATTTTGTAGTCTGGAATCTGGATACTAAAATATATTTTATAATAATATATATTTTATTGTATTTCTATTTTGCAACATTATTAAAGATTTTTTTTTTCAGATAATGATCATTTATTGGAAAAATTACATAATAGAAGAAAGATTAAGAAGATATCAGATATAGATCTATATCTGATATCTTCGTAATCTTTCTTCTATTATGTAATTTTTCCAATAAATGATCATTATCTGACAAAAATCTTCCATATGATGCAGAGATGGATCTTGGTATCAGGAAGAAGGGGCTCATTCTCTTAGGGAATCTGTATCATCATACAGGGTTTCATTGGTAATTTTGATATTTCATTTTTCTGTTGGTCTAAAATAAAATTTCTTCAAGTTGTAATTTTGATTGTGTTTTGTGCAAATGCTTATCACATGTGTTTGTATTTTGGCTGTTGACAACATTGACGTATTTTTGAATCGAATAAGTTCAACCATTATTGTTTAACACCTTTCTGACAACTCATATTACCATTTTATCCTTTCAACTGACAACATCTTGGCTGCTACTGTTGTGGTCACTTCTACAGTCCAGTCATCTCTAACACCTGAGAATATTATTTTCCATGTCATCACTGATAAGAAAACATACGTAGGCATGCACTCATGGTTTGCCTTAAACCCCATCTCACCTTCCATTATTGAAGTCAAAGGTGTTCATCAGTTTGACTGTTTGACCTAAGACAATGTTCCTGTTCTTGAAGCCATTGAAAATCATAATGGAATTCGTAATTACTATCATGGAAATCATATATCAGGCACCAATGTTGGTGATACTGTTAATCCAAGATCATTTGCCTCAAAATTACAAGCTAGAATCCCTAAATACATATCCTTGCTCAATCATCTTCGCATATATCTCCCAGAGGTAACCAGTAATTTGATTTTATTGTAAATTAAAAAAATGGTCCCTATGCCTCCTGTTTTGACCACGTTTAGTCCAAAATTAAGTTCTTTTTCAGTTTCGGTCCTTATCTTAAGTTTTCATATCGATTTTGGTCCTTATTTCAAGGTTTTAAGAACCAAAATCAATATGAGAGCTTGAAATATAAGGACTGAAGTTGAAAAAGTTGTCAAATTTAGACTAAACACTGTAAAGTCAGAAAGCACATGGACCCTTTTTATAACTTAAAGTTTATATATGCATCTGAAAGTTTAGATTTGAATGGTTATTTGAGACCTTTCCACATGTGATAAATTCTTCCCAAGTTTTCTATTTTAATGTGAAATCTTTAACATAACTTTGTTCACCTCATCAACTTCCAATCTAAATCAATGCAGCAAAGAGGTAGGCTTAGTGAAAAAACTCATGGATGAGTCGGCAACACCTTGCGATACCTCTAGCAAACTCAGGTATGTAGCTTTATTATTCCGAATAGCTCTTGTTTTCTAGTATTAGAAGATCACATGTCTTGATTTCATGCATAACAATAGAGAGATATTGCAACATCTTTAATAGAGCTATGTAGCATTATAATCCTTCAAATGTGATGGAAACATATGAGGTGCAGTGGATAAGCAAATAAAACTCTTAATCCCAATGATGTCAATAATCTTCCAGAAACTAAAAATCTTCATTGTTTGTACGATGCATGATATATTTGCATCCCATGCTATATTATTTAGATGCTTTAACTTTCATTAATTGGTTTGAATGTTGGTGTTTAGTAATTTAACTCAATTTATTCCTCTTATTATTAACAACTTTTATTTATTCATGATCTTCAGCTATCTTCTCCTTTTGGGCGGCTTGTAATTTCAAGTGATGGAGTCTGGGATGCTCTTTCCACTGAATCAGCTCTGGAATGCAGTTGCGGATTGGCTCCGGAATCAGCAGCAACACAAATTGTCAAAGTACGGAAACAAAAAAAATGTCAAATTTGTAATAAAATATTAGGCAATGGATTCTATTTTTGTATGACATTAAATTTTATGAAATGGATTATATTTTTTGTATATCATATTTTATTTTCTATTATGATGCATTAAATGCAAATTTAATCTGAAAATTAGTAAATCTATAAAAAAAAAATTTTTTTAAACATTTAAAATTATGATACGCAAAAATGTGTGTCATCTTCATTTATGACATGACCTTTCTTGACAGGGGCTTTCTTGATACGCATTGCGTGTCATTAACACGCGCGTCGTAAGGTTACGACACGCGAATGCGTGTTGTCTTCCTTTATGACAGGGCCTTCCTTGATACGCATTGCGTGTCGTAAAGGCGCATCGTAATTCTGCGTCGTAAATGAGCGTCGTAAATGCGCGTCGTCTCTCTTTATGACAGGGCCTTCCTTGACGCGCATTTGCGCGTCGTCTGAGCCATTTACGACGCGCAATGAGCGTCGTAAAAGGCTGTTTTTCTAGTAGTGATATGACTTCATGAAATGGACTTAGAACACCTTAGACATGGATTTTGAGGGATTTACATGAGTCTACACCCAAGGTATGTGCTTGGGTCGTAAACCCCTCAAACATGGGAGTAAACTCATTTCAAACATGTTAGAAAGTCATATAACTTCACCAAAAGCCTTAGAGTAAATCATAGAACCAACCAAAAATAGTTTGGGGACCTTAAACATAACAAAACTCTTCATTTAAGAGTTTACGGCCATAACATGTGCTCCAGGGCCGTAAACTCCTAATTGTGTCCCTTTTGATGCCCCAAATTCATATCAAGGCTTGTAAAAATTATAGGAATCACATGTGATTAATCTAAGGCCTTTAAAATCACAATCTAAGGGGGGTATGGGAGCTTACATCCGTAAGCTCCATACTAGGGCTATAAACTCTCTTAAATAGTGTCATTTGGTGAATTTAATTACTCCCATGCCTTAGGTAAAATTTTTCCAACTCTTCCCAAGTGATGTTGACCCTTTAAGCACCATAAACCTTGCCCACATGAGTTCATGGCCGTGAACTCATGTGTGAGTGGTGTATAAGGCCAAAAACTCATTAGGGAGTTTACTCTTGAAGAGTAAACTCAAATCCCAAGTCCCACGCATCAATACACGTCCGTAGATGTCACCCGGGTCACTCCAAACACTCGTTTTGAGGTGTTTTCGTTCATTGGAGTGTAATATCATATCTAGTTAGAGTTTATGAATCTAATATTGGATAAGGTGTCTAAGTCCATAACTTATTTGATATATACTTGACCCGACCCGACATGGTCCATTTGTGTTGCACTTCACCCGAACTATTTATGCATAATTTATGAGAGTTATACACATATGTTTATTAATATATTATAAGTTATAAAATATTAATATGAAGTCATGTTATTTAGTTAGTCTTAGTCTTAAATTAATTATGAATTAATTTAGAGATTAAAATGAAGACTAATTAGATTGTGGGCTATTGGTTTTATATGGTGTGGGCTAATACTCATTTGTTAATGGGCTAGGCTTATATGGAAGTCCATGGATGATCCATGGAGCTTTTAACGCATGGATCCTTGGAAAAGGAAAGGTCATGGGTTATTAGGGTTTCACCCTAACCATGCACACTATATAAGTATGCTTATGTTGCATGAAATAGCCACTAGTGAACTAGTGTGTGTGGTCTAAAATTACAAGTGTGTCTACTCTCTCTAAAGTTTTCCAAGTGTTTGTGGTGATTTGTGATTTCCATTTGAGGCATTCACACTATTGGTGCTTGGCTCTCAAACTCCAAGAAATCTATCTCATCAAAAGGTATGTAATCTCATCTAACTCTTTTATGTTTAAAAGTTCCCCATGCCATGTTAGATAGGTTATGAACCTTGGAAAAATTATTATTTTGCATGTATTAGACAAACATAGATCCAAGGTTTATTAGGGTTGCATGCACACTTAGGAAGTGTTAGATTGCTCAAAACCCAACAGTGGTATCAGAGCCTAGGCTTGCTTGTTTGATACTTGATGCAAGAGAGTGAAAAAAGTTGAAATTGTTGTTGTCTAACTGATGGACTCGTCGAGTCCATGGGGGACTCATCGAGTAGGTTCGTGCACTCGGCGAGTAAAATGATCAGAATGCAGAATTTCGACTTTTGCTGCTGGAAATGGACTAGAAACATTACCCTAAACTGTTTTGGTGTTTTAAAACTTGTTTTAGTTGGTGTAATGGTTGTTCTAATCCATTTACAATAGCATATATCAAAATTCCATGATTTTATGTGTTCATGTAATTCTTGAAATTTTGATGATCATGTTCATGTTCTTATGAATTTAGAAGATGATAGGAATTATTTGTTGAATTGTTTAGAATTAATTCTTGATCATTTATGTGTTTTAATGGAGTCCATAATTTTTCCTCAAGTTATGGATTTCCAAAGGTCACTTTTCTTTAACACACACTTAAAACACATAAGTTACATGAAAATGAAGAGTCTTCATTTTTATGAACCTTTAATTCATAAGTTATGAAATGAAAAGTTTTGGATAGTTACAAAACTTGCCCTCAAGTTTTGGAATTTGTAAAGTTTCACACACTTTAATAAACTTTAATTCCAACCCTTAGATTTTTAATAGTTAAAATTCAACCCTTATACTATTTATAACATTAATGGTTAATTATTATATATATGTATAAGAATAAGTCGTTCTACCGTTAGTAGGCCTCATTCATGAAGCCGGTCTATAAGGAGGTATAAGGTTGTTACCTATAAAATGGCAGCTTAATGGGTGTCCACTCTCACCCACCGCTTCCTTGATCGGTGGAGGGTCGTTAGCCGAACGGGTAGGACAATGACTTTAAATCCTCATTAAAAGTATAATGATTATTATAAAGTAACTAAACATTTTCTAATTCCCAATCTTACTTACTTTAGGAAAAATGTGAACATGGTGCTAGTCCATGGAATTCACACTTTGTACCTTACCAAGTTGTTGGTGGAGCGTGTGTGGTTAACCGGCACACTAACTTGGACTAGTAAGCATCACGAAGGGTGACTTAATGTTTGTCATAGATCAATGGAGCATGTGTGGTTAACCGGCACATTGATTAGGTGATAATATTAAGGGTACCAAGTGAATTAGCATGGTTATTCACACCTTGTTTTGTGATCCTCAGCATCTCAGTCACAAAACTTGAAGGGCACAATCGAGATTGAAACATGCCATTGAAAAGTTCAATGAATCTCAAAAGAATCTAGGAATTTCAAATCCAATTGAAACCTAATAATTCATTTTGTTTTCATGGTGGAAATTGGTGAATCGTCATTCACCTACCTTTCAAATATATTATTACTTAGATTACGGCATCCCTCTTATAGGTATAGTATATTGTGATTGGGTCCTAGCCTTAATATTACATTTGGGTGTCTTATTAAGGATTCTATATATCTAATCTAAACTGGCTTTCTTCTTTCGGATGTCTTCCAACACTAATGCTTCGGGCTCTAACCCAACTGGTTCTTTCTCTCTCATGAATCTTTATGGGAGGGTCATCTTTGATGGTTCCAACCTCATGGATTGGATTAGGAACATCAGGATGGTTACGCGTTATGATGACAAGGAATATGTCCTTGATAAGGAGTTAAAAGATTTTGATGAGTCTACTGCTACTCTTGAGTAGATCACTGAATTCAGGACACATGACAGATATGCTACTAATGTGGCATGCATCATGTTGGCCAGAATGACAATCGAGCTCTAAAAGTCATATGAAGATTTCTACCCTTTTGAGATGCACCAAGACCTGATGGAAAGGAACCATCAGGGTGCTTGTCAGGAGCAGTATGAAATAATCTCCTCCTTAATAACTACCCGCATGAAGGACGGTGAATCCGTCACGGCCCACATGCAAAAGATGCAAAGGTATGTGGACCGTTTACTGAAGCTGAATGTGAACTTCCACGAGGAGTTGGCAATTGACATCATTTTGCACTCCTTACCTTCTTGTTATGATCATTTTCATATGACATATCATATAAACAAGGAGGAAGTTACTCTCAGCAAACTTCAAGGACTCTTGAAGACCGCTGAATCCGGTCTTAAGGGAAAGGCGGTTGTTACCTCTACTACTCCTACTCCAACATCTACCCCTGTTTTGGCTATTGGGCAAGGCAAAGGGAAGAAGAGGAAGCACCCTTCGAAGGGTACCAAGGGAAAGTCTCTTGAAGGCTCCTCATCGAAGACCAAGAGCGGTCCTGTCATTCCTTCTGCCATTCCTAAGGATGCTAATTGCTACTATTGCCTGGACAAGGGGCACTGGAAGCGAAAATGCCCTAAGTACTTGCAAGTATTTACACTATATTGTAAAACCCACCCATGCAAGTATTTACACTATATTGTCTAATTACTTATCAAATTCTAACTCTTGGGTGCTTGATACAGGATGTGGTATTCACATATATTCTAATTTGCAGGGCCTAAGAAGAAGTGAGGATGTGGAGCACGGGAAGATAAACTTGATCATGGGGAATAGGAAGGCTTCACCTGTTTCCAAGATTGGAGTTTATACTTTGTTGCTTAATAATGGGTTGAAATTAGATTTGAATAAATGTGTGTACTCGTCTGAAATGGCGAGGAATATTATTTCTTTTCATGCTTTGTACAAACAAGGTTTTACCTTATCATTTGATAATGAATGTGGTGGTATTAATGCTTTCATTAAAAATGTGTTTTATTTTAAAGCATTACCTTGTGATGGTGTGTATGAAACTGTGTCGATTGTAGACAAGTTAGGAAATAATGTGTTGTATATTGATTCTTCTACTAGCCTAGATAAAGCATCATTGTGGCATTGTCGTCTTGGACATGTAAACAAGAAACGCATAGGCCAACTCCAAAAGAGTAGAGTCTTGGAGTCATTCGACCTTAAATCGGATGATAGTTGTGAATCTTGTCTACTTGGAAAGATGACAAAATCACCCTTCACTAGAACTTGTGAAAGGGGTGAGGGTTTGTTGGACCTAATACATACTGATGTATGTGGACCATTCAAAACTGCCACAAGGGACGCTAATCAGTATTATGTGACTTTTATTGCTGATTTTAGTAGATATGGGTATGTCTACTTAATCAAACATAAGTCAGAAACCTTTGAAAGGTTTAAGGAACTCAAACAGGAAGTATAAAATCAATTAGGCAGGAACATTAAGATGCTTCGATCCGATCGAGGTGGTGAGTATCTTAGTACCGAGTTCCTTGACTATCTTAAGGAGGGTGGGATTGTCTCACAATTGACTCCACCCAGGACACCACAGTTAAATGGTGTAGCTGAGAGGCGTAATCGAACCTTGTTAGACATGGTTCGCTCTATGATGAGTCGAGCTTCGCTACCAATCTCTTTTTGGGGGTATGCCTTAGAGACTGCCGCCCATATCCTTAATCTAGTCCCTACAAAGAAGGTTACCAAAACACCTCATGAGATGTGGACTGGGAAGGTTCCCAATTTAGACCACATCAAGATTTGGGGGTGTGAAGCTTTCGTGAGGCGTGAGACTCATGATAAACTCGAACCCCGAAGCCAAAGGTGTATTTTCATCGGCTACCCACATAAATCCTTCTGTTACCTCTTCTACAGACCCAATGAGAATGTGGTCTTTGTAGCAAGAAGAGGGGTCTTTCGTGAAAGAGAATTTATAAGCCAAGGAGACAGTGGGAGGCAAATTGATCTTGAGGAAATTCAAGAAGCAATTGGTGAAGGAACCTCAGACACTAGCAATAAACCTGAGGAGGAAACTCCTGTTGAGCAAGCTGACAAGTTTGTACCTCCGAGGCGTTCCACACGGGTTAGGAACACACCTTCGTTTTATTATGGGTTTCATATTACTACGGAAGTTCATATGTTTATCAGTGATAGTACACTGGTAAATTTGGATGAACCTAGTAGTTTTAATGAAGCCATGGCAGGCCCGGAGTCTGCTAAATGGAAGGAGGCTATGGACAGTGAGATACAGTCCATGTATGACAATCAAGTTTGGAACTTGGTTGACAATGTACCAGGCCATAAAACAGTCGGGTGAAAATGGATCTTCAAGAAGAAGAACGACATGGAAAGAAAGGTGCATACTTATAAGGCTCGACTGGTTGCAAAGGGTTTTACTCAGACTCAGGGTATTGATTATGATGAAACCTTCTCGCCGGTAGCAAATATTAAGTCTATTAGGGTTATGCTAGCCATTGCTGCATTTCATGATTATGAAATATGGAAAATGATTGTCAAAACCACTTTTCTTAATGGAAAGTTGGCTGAGGATGTGTACATAAATCAGCAAGAGGGTTTTGTCAGTGCAGAGTACCCTAATAGAGTATGAAAGCTTGAGAAATCGATTTATGGATTAAAACAAGCATCTCGTAGCTGGATTCTTTGTTTCGATGAGAAGGTCAAAGAGTTTGGCTTCTCGAGAAGTGAAGATGAGTCTTGCGTGTATGTCAGAGCTAGTGGGAGTATAGTTAGCTTCTTGGTACTGTATGTGGATGACATACTACTTATAGGAAATGACATCCCAATCTTGCAGGAGGTTAAGTCCTGGCTTGGGAAATGCTTTGCTATGAAGGACCTAGGGGAGGCTGCCCATATCCTAGGGATAAGGATATTAAGAGATAGGAGTAAAAGACTAATTGGACTTAGTCAGAGTATCTACTTGGATAAAGTGTTGAAAAGGTTCAGCATGCAGAATTCCAAGGAAGGAGATTTACTGATCGAAAGCAATGCCAAACTGAGTAAGACTTAGAGTCCGAGTACTGAGGTAGAGATAGCTGAGATGAGCCAATTACCGTATGCTTCCGCTGTTGGCTCGATCATGTATGCTATGACTTGTACCCGCCCTGATGAGGCCTTTGCTTTGAGCATGGTCAACAAGTATCAGGGGAACCCTGGCAAGGCTCATTGGACCGCGGTAAAGAACATTCTCAAGTACCTGCGAAGGATTAAGGATTGGATCCTTACCCTTGGTGGGAGTGATGACTTGAGAGTATTAGGGTATAATGATGCTAGTTTGTAGACTGATAGGGATAACCTCCGCTCTCAGTCGGGCTGGGTCTTTACCTTAAATGGAGGGGAAATTTCTTGGAAGAGTTCCAAGCAGGAGATGGTGGCTGATTCGACTTGTGAATCAGAGTATATAGCAGCGAGTGAAGCAGCGAAGCAGGCGATATGGCTGAAGAACTTCATTGGAGACCTTGGAGTTGTACCAGCTATTAAGGAGCCTATAGAGATTTTCTGTGACAGCAATAGTGCGGTTGCCTTAGCCAAGGAACCAAGAGATCATGACATATCCCAACACATTGACAGAAAATATCACTTAATAAGACACAAGATTGAAGAAGGACTCCTCGTGGAAAAGAGGGTATCGTCAGGTGAGAATCCTGCAGATCCCCTTACGAAGGGACTAACGAGGGTTAAGCATTTTCAGCATGCGAGGTGCATCGGGCTGAGGGACGATATTAGTTTTACAGATTAGATAGTTTTCCTGAAACTTGTAAAATGTAATCGACGTTTGATGATGAATAAAATTTGTGATTTATTTATGAGTAAAGTGTTACTGTTATTGTCAATTATTTACTATTGTTTCAGTTTTTTCATGTTTTGACTTCCATAATAATTAATTTATTCAAACCTCCACAGTCGTTCATACGTCGGAAGTAGGTATGAATCAAGATTGTCATGAATCGGGTTTATAGATGGCTAAAGGTGTTTAGACATGGCAATGGTTGCTGCAACGTTCATGAGTACTCATAAGTTATGAGTATTGGTATAAACCCACGCTCACTTGTATCACTTCATGGAATTCATCTCGAGTGATCGTGAGACGATAATATCATGTAAGTCTTCAAACCTAGAGATATGAGTTGTTACCTATGAGTTGGTTGTGCATTGATTGCACGTAAATGCATCAGTAACTTGATGTTATAAAACGTGCCTTTGTGTACAATTCAACAAGTAGTTGAACAATCATATGAGTCGAAGTTTATCTGTTCCTTCTAGAAATAGAAGCGATATCTGGGCCCCTCGATGATTTTGTGTTGACCCATGTACCGGGCCCGGTCAGAACTAAATTAATGTGTTCAGTTCAGTTCTTTGTCAAACAAATCGGAAATCGAGAAACAATTGCCAGACAATAAGCAAGACATAGTTCCATGTGTTTGTCCGGCTGGTATCATGAGAACAGAGGATTATATGATCACTTGTCTTAAAATGGCGCTTCATAGTTCAACAGAGTTTTCGAGAGCTACGATTGCTGGTTGGTTCCTGAAGTAATATAGGCAAATACAGTTATTAGACTTATCCAAGTGGGAGTCTATCGGATAAGGTGTCTAAGTCCATAACTTATTTGGTATATACTTGACCCGACCCGGCATGGTCTATTTGGGTTGCACTTCACCCGAACTATTTATGGATAATTTTATGAGAGTTATACACATATGTTTATTAATATATTATAAGTTATAATATATTAATATGAAGTCATGTTATTTAGTTAGTCTTAGTCTTAAATTAATTATGAATTAATTTAGAGATTAAAAGGAAGACTAATTAGATTGTGGGCTATTGGTTTTATATGGTGTGGGCTAATACTCATTTGTTAATGGGCTAGGCTTATATGGAAGTCCATGGATGATCCATGG